AGAGAGAGAGAGAGAGAGAGAGAGAGAGAGAGAGAAGAGATCGTCGGTTATTTTAACAATCACGTTCTCTCTCTACTCCATACATGTCGCGTGTGCTGTTGTGAAGATCCAGGTTATTCAGTAAGGAAACTTGACACTGCGTTGTCTGAATTCAATATCTTACGTGTGTATATTATTATATTCTTGTGCGAAGTGATAGGCGGTAAGTTATAGACATATCCTGTTGTGTCCTCGTCTCCAGCTATATGTGACTATACTGACGATGAAAGTCTTACTCACACAAATTCACACACACATACACACACACACACACACACACACACACACACACACACACACTCTCTCTCTCTCTCTCTCTCTCTCTCTCTCTCTCTCTCTCCCTCTCTCCCACTCCCTTTCTCGCTCTCTGTGGTCTCGATAGAGCTTGTCATTTGCAGGCAGAACACACCATTGCTCCCCTGACAATCCCTTCTATTGTGATTTTGATGAAAACCGTAGTCAACGCGTCAGGTGCCCGAACCGCCAAGGATTCCTTCACACATTATCCGGGTTTGAAAACACACAGAGATAACTCTGGACAAAGCTGAACAATCTCTGTGAGGATTATGTCCCCTGATGAGAATGGCCTGCCATTGAGAATTGATAGATCTGGGGAATTCGCTGTCAAAACGGACGTGGCAAGATGGCCGAACGTGAGGGGAGACAATGCAAGGGCTTTTCCCATGGGTGGCTTGGTCAGGGGAACAACACGGGATTGCGTGTGGTTTGAAGGAAAAAAATAGGCACATAAAAATAGCGAGAAAGTGGAGCCGCTACTTTCATGTCTTTCCCAACGACTCGCTTGGGTGCGCAAAGGGCGTTAATTGGTTATAATTTAGTAATTTAAGTACGTTTTTGCGTGCCCCGCTTTGGCAATGGACAGAAGCAATGAGACGGCGACTTGCGTAGAAATCTGTTTTTCTATGTCCGAGCTGATGGCAGCGTCAATATCCGATAAAACGGGACTGGGGGCATTCGGTTCACTTCGGTAATATTATATAAGACGCAGAAGTCAAGAACCTTAACATATCCATATCTTTGGTCAAGAGGTTAGGATCTTCACCATTTCAGGTCGAAGATGAGAGTTCAATTCCTGAAGGAGAAAGATTTTTATTTGATTATTACCTACTTCTGCCCTGTCAGACAATATGGAAATGCCCCACCGTCTAAATCTTTTAAAGCGTGTCAATTGAATTAAAGCCTCAATATATGCTTTTAACTTTAAGCAATTTCGGTTCAGAACCACACGACGGGCTTTCGAACTGATGGGAGTCCCTTATCTATATCGTTGGAAAACATTCCAAGCACTTGACCCAGCATAGTCACCTACTGATCAGTGTGTCTACGCTCAGTAGTTCCATCAAACAATAATGAAGACGTGTAAAACATTCTAGCGCTCCCTTATTGAGTGAAAATCACCGACGAACACATCCGCGCACAGTATTGCATTACAGGTGTGCATGTAGACCAAATACACCACCACCTCCCAGTCCCGTCCCTCCTATTCCCTCCCGTTCGGAAGTCTTCCTCCCAACACCTTCCTGACCCCCCATCCTTGTCCCAGAGCCCTATTCCATCCCTATTCCGAACTCCCATCCCTATTGCTAACTCCCATCCCTATTCCTAACTCCCATCCCTATTCCTAACTCCCATCCCTATTTCTAACTCCCATCCCTATTCCTAACTCTCATCCATATTCCTAACTCCCATCCCTATTCCTAACTCCCATCCCTATTCCTAACTCCCATCCCTATTCC